AGAGTGTTCTAGAGACACACTCTCTGTCTGTTACGGCCTAGGGAAGCAGGAATGGCCGGGGTAAGTACACTTAACCCAGGATGTTCCTCCAGCCACACAGAATGCATCCAGCTCTGTCTTCCTTCATCTCCTCTCACCAGAGCAAGCAGGAAGTGAAAGCTCCTGTCTGGTGATGCAGAGGTCATCATTCTCAAGGGCAGGGTGTGCCCAGTGATGATGGAGAAAGTGCGGATTCTGGATTTGCTTGTAGACCATCTTATCCTGGAGCAGGAGGTCTTATTTTGGGAGCAGTGTCTGTGAGTAGATCTTGTCTGGATCCTGGTTCTGACCATGAGGAAATGTGAAGGGGGAAGCCAGGCTGATGCTGGGACAAGAGAGTGTACCAACTACTCCAAACTGTGCTTCTTAGGATAGACAGCACCTACTAGGCTGATATTCTAACCAGGGGCCAGCAGAGAAAGTATAAAGGGGGCAGAGGGAAGGAAAAGGAGGGCTTACTGTGTGCAGTAACATCTCGGAATTGGTGCCTGTTGGGCCCCAGACCCCACAGATCTCTGTGCATTCTTGTCAGCTGATACTCACAGGTGCATCCTGTTCTCTAGTCCTGGCTTACAGCCCAGGCCTTGCCCCAGTGACATCAATATCTAGAAAGAGGAAGGCATAGACTCTGATGCCTGGGATTTCCCCACTGTGCTGTATGTCTGTGTATAAGGCGGCCCCCTTCTTGCAATACTCACACACACGCGCGCACACACACACACACACACACACACACACACACACACACACACACACACACACTTTCTTAGCACAAACGGCCAGATGGATTGTCTTTTATTTAAATCTCCAGGCTTTTGCCCTATACATTAGACTTGCTTATGGCCTGGGTGCCATAGGTGCCCTCCGAGCAGGCAGGCAAGGGCTGCAGGACTTGGCCACAGGGAGACTCTTTTGGCAATGTTTTGTCACTGGGGTGTTTTATCTTGCGCAGTTCAAGGAGAAACTACTAATGCTAACCACCCCTGTGCTTGAAGAAACTTCCCTTCTGAAATGGACCCAATTCCAATGAAGCCGCTGCTGTATCCTTGCCCACCCTGCGCTTGATGTAGCTGATGCAAAGGTGTAAGACGAGAGCGAGGATGAGCCTGGAATAACCGAGGACGCAGAGGCGTCTGTCCACAAACGCAGGGCATAATGGTCATTTGTCACCTGAGTTCTCTGGAAAGAGGACCAGGAACAAACATTTGTATGTATCTTATCTTAGTTTCCTCTGGCTGTGATGAAACACCATGACAAAAGCAACTTTTAACAGAAAGCATTTGATTTGGGACTGATGGTCCTGAGGGTTAGTCCGTGACCAGCATGGTGGGAGCATGGCAGATGGGCAGGCAGAGAGCTGGACCAGCAGCAGAGAGTGTACCTCTTATAATCCCCAGGCATGAGGCAGATTGAGCCAACTGATTATGGATGGACATTTGAAACTCCAATCCTGCCCTGAGGAACACACCTCCTACATCAAGTCTACACCTCTTAAGACAACCCAAACAGTTTTACCAACGGAGGAACAAATATTCAAATATACAAGCCTATTGAGGCCATCCCCATTCAGATATATCCATCTTGTCAGCAAGCACACATAACACAGAATTTTAAAATATAACATTTAAAGGGCCTGACTCTAAAAACCTAAAAATAGGCAGTACCAAACCTCAGAATAATATTACAGACAGGGTAAAACTCAGGGAGACATGTTGGTTCCAACATGGGGGTTCTTAATTCTTTTCACACAGACTCAGAGATTTTGATTGTGCAAATCTGAATCCCATCAGGCTTTGGGCCTGGGATAAGGTGGTTAATGTGACAACTCTAATTTTACTTGGAAATGCTCAGGGTAGAGGCTAACTTGAATAGTCAGCATACTCCAGAGAAACAGAACTAATGGGACACGTGTGCCTGCAGGAGGATTTGAGATTGGAGTTGGCACACATGATGATAGAGCAAGTCCAAACCTGCAGTGGGCCAGCCAGACTCAAGATGGCGGATGGTGAGTGTCCACTGTGAAGGCTGTGCCACTGAAGGTTCTCTCTGGCTCAGGGACTGTCCCCAATTTCTTTACACTAATGTCACAAAAAGACTGACCAAACACTCTTGGGGAAGGCAAGGGTCTATTGGCTTACAGGACACACTCCATTGCTGAGAGAAACCAGGGTGGAGCTCTAGGCAGGAACCTGGAAGCAGGAAATGAAGCAGAGGCTAGGAGGTAGCTGCTTCCTGTCTACTCCTCTTGTCTTGCTCAGCCTGCTCTGGTATACACTCAGGAACACCAGGACATGGGTGTCATAAATCATAAGTCAGCTGGATTCTGTTACACCAATCCTGGCTTGTGTCAAGTTGACAAAAAAAAAAAAAAAAGCAGTTCAGGGAAATTGGTGGGTATTGGTGTCCACTATCATGTTGGGCCCAGGAATCTAATTTGAGTCTTCAGGAAGAGTGACAAACACCTTTGCTGACTGAGTCGTCTCCCCAGCCTAAGGATGGTCTTTTTGTTCTGGTGAGATCCTTCAACTGATGGGATGAGGCTCAACACAATAAGGAAGCCAATCTTCTTTACCCCAAGTTCACTGAAGTAAACATGAGCTCTAATTGAGAGGTGAATCTGGCCACCACAACAGATGATCTAGAAGAACAGTAAAGCTTTGGGGTGACAGGTGACACTGTGAGCTGTGAAAACCCATTTTATTTCTATTGTTTTTTCAGACAGAAGGTTCAGCTCAAATGTAGGCACAATAATTGCCTGAAACAGAAATAGAGTCCAGAGACAGACATGGGTATGCCCCTACCTCTGCTTGAATTAGCATTTCCTTCCCTTGAGAAAGAGCACCAGGTCACTGTCTGAGCCTTTGTCCCAGGAGTTGAGGACACCCATCGTTGTGTGGTCTCTTAATGTGTTGAGTTCCCTATCTGCATCCTAAATCATGGTTCTTCAGTTCCAAGTCCAACCATGCCCTGATGTGGTGGGTTCTCTACCTCAAGTCTAGCCCAGTACCCTGGAATGTCAGAGAGAGGTGTGCTAACAGCACAGCATCCTTCCTTCTATCCCCCAAGGCCAGCATAGTGCCCCTGCCTGTGGTCTGGAATCACTCCACTCCAACTGATGCACCTGTACTCAGTTCCTGGGGCTTGGGAAGGGCTCCCTCTGCAAGGAGAGGTCAGCATTGCTTGGCAGAGCTCATGGATGGGGAAGAGAAATTAAATGGAGACAATGCTGCATCTTAACATCTCTCCATGCCAGGTAGCAGAGAGGGGCCGGTTGGCCAGGATACATTACCTCCTGTCAGCCATGGTGGGGACAATGACTAGATAGAGGACAAAAGGACCACCTTCCATGAACATCATTCCTTCCAGAGACACATTCTCAGCCTCTACCTGTGATCCAGTAATTCTAGGGGCTCAGCTAAGATTGGCAGCAAAGCGTCAGAGCCAAGAATAGGTGAGTCACAGGATCCCACTGCCAACCACCTCACTCAGGCCACACCATCCATGCCTCAGTTTCTTCCTCTGTGAAATGGGGTCTGCAGTCTCTAGTCTAAAGATGCAGTACCTAGTGTCTTAGGGTCACTATTGCTGCAAAGAAACACCTTGACCACATGGATGTTGGGGGAGGTTTCCTTGTCTTACACTTCCACACTGTAGTTGATCTCTGAAGAAAATTATAAATGGAACTCAAGCAAGACCAGAACCTGAAGGCAGGGCCTGGAGCAGAGGTTATTGAAGGATGCTGATTACTGGCCACATCTTCATGGTACAGAACCCAGAGCACCAGCACAGGCTGGCCACACCTACACCAGCTGAACTCTCCCCTCTCCATCAATCAGTAATTAAGAAAATACACTACAACCTTGCCTAAACCAAACTAAGGGAGTCACTTTCCTACTTTTGCCTCTCTACATTCAGATGACCCTAAGTTCTTTCAAGTTGGCATAAAACAAGCAGGAAATGCCTGCCGTGGGGCTAGGTGTCTCCATGCAGCTAGGGGTCTCAGGTGGTAGAATGCTGGGCTAACCCATGCTAGGTTCTGGGTTGGCTCTCCAGCCCCACAGAGAACTGGGCATGGAGATGTAATCCCAGCACTAGAGTAGCTGAGGCAGGGGGACCAGGAATTCAGGGTCATCCTCAACTACAATTTGGTCTGAGGACAATCTGGGCTACATGAGACCCTTCTGAGAGAAAAAGAAAGGAAGGACGGATTGGGGGGGGAGAGGGAAATGCTGACAGACACAGGTGTTCCCCATGATCTGGGTGGGGTGAAAAGAATTTGGTCTGAGGCTCTCAAAAAGAAAAGGACACACAGAGCCGGTCTTCAGAGCACAGGTGCTGCCCTCACAGGGCTGCTTTGTGACTGCCCTGCTGTGGCCTCAGAAAAGTGAGGAGATGGGCTGAGGAGATGGCCCCTTGAGTGATCACACTCCAGGTCAAGGGCAAGGTTAGCTTGAAACCAAGCTTGGCAGAGTCAGTCAGGTTTTACATGATCTTGATCATAAACATCTGAGAGGCGAAGGCTTGAAATCCAGCCCAAGTGTGTCTTCCTCAGATACCCCCAAAGCCTCAGCTCTAAAGACATGTTTCTCCATTGCCTTTCCAACATGCATCCCCCAAATCATTTGCATGACAATTCACAACAGTAGCAAAATTACAGTTATGAAGTAGCTACAAAAACAATTTTATGGTTGGGGATACACCACACCATGAGGAACTGTATTAAAAGTTCCCAGCATTAGGTAGGCTGAGAGCCAGTATCCTAGATCCAGGGGGTTCAGCAAGTTTCCTGGTGGAAATGTGTTGGAGAGTTGGTGAAGACAACACTCCCTGGGGGTCTGGGCAGGGTCCACAGAGAGCCCTGTAGAGGGCTAGCCTGAGGATCCAGGGCACCTGGTGAAGCCCAGCAGCTGTTTCTAGGGATTTGTGCTCCTGGCCCAGCTGTAGAAGAACTGGGTTTCTCATGCCTTATCATCCCAGCCCCTGCTGCAACCCGTGGTTAGTTCTCCCCTTGACCCTGCAGGACTCATTTTAAGGAAACCACCAGCTCCTTGGGCTCCTCACTATGGCTGCTGCTCCCCTGGTTCACCCTTCCACACTTATCTCGGAATTACCTGGTTACTACAGGGATGAGAACCAGAGACTCTGGATGGTAGTAGGCCTGGGAATTACTCCCGATCATCCAAGTCATATCATGGTGAGTTTTGAGCTCCAGGGAGTCTGTATCTTGACCTTGTTGGTAGTCTTGGTGTGCTAGGTTATGTGTGTTGGGGTAGATAATCACCCTGAATACTTCTCTAGGCTGTGGCTTTAGGCTACAATGGATCCTGGGACTCTATACTAGTCTGATTCTACAGGTAAAAGGTTTCTAGGTATCAAGAATGCTCCCCAAGGCCCCTGAGATGTTACTTAAGGGCAAAGCTCTAGTGTAGGTTTGGCAGATGATACGTGTTCTCTGCCTGCTGTCTGCCTGAGACACCTGGGACAAATGACTGAGGTGCCAGTTAACATCAAAGTGGCCTCTGGACATCAAGTTCTCCCAGCATCCCTCATTCCCATCCTGTTTCAGGGAATGGCAGACTTGCTTGCCCTCTACCCTGAACTGTGCAGCCCAAGGCCTGAGCCCCAACAACCAACTTTCCCATCGCAGCCCACCTACTCTGGTCCTTTCCTATGTAACTCAGCCATTTTGTCTATGCCAGTTTCTTGGCCCAGGCCACCCCACTTGGTTGTCATCTCCTCTCTCCTCTCCTCACGTGGCCAGGCTCACAGTCATGTTCACTCCAAACCCAGCCAGATGTCTCCATCTCTGCCTGTGCTCTCCCTTTTATCTACAATAAACCTTCTCCTCCTCCATACCTAGGAGCAGTCATGTCCTTCCTTTTTCATCCCTTTTCCCCCTTTATCTGGGGCCAACTGTGATATGTTATCGGATCTCAGTTTGTCCCTGTTTGGAAAACTAGCAAGGGGATAATTCATCGATAGCACCATAAAAATAAAATCTTCAAGTCGATATGTTTTTCTTCAAACTATACCAAATCAAATATGGAAAGTTTTAGCACCAAATATTTTCAGTTAAAAAAAAACTCAGAAAAGAATTCTGTCAGTAAGGAGGTAAACAAAACAGCTTCCATGAGAAAGTTTGTGCAGTAAATAAATTCAAATAGACTCACATGTCTCCCAGCGTCCTGCTTCTGGGCAGCCTTGGGTTAAAGTAGCTGTTGGATCCACGTGTGCCTAGAGGGGCAGATGCAGCTTGCAGAACAGCTTCTTGGGCAACTGAGTTAAAGGGGGCGAGGAGAATCTGATGGCTCCTGTAAAAGAATCAACCTGAGTCTCCCAGACAACGCTGTTGCTAAGGGATACATACACTAGAATGTTCCATGGAGTGACAATTGAACTTGCTTGTAGTCCAGGAGGGAGTGAGGCTTGTGCTCCTCCTGCCACAGCCTCTTGAGTCCTTTGGGATTCCAGGTTGTAATGACAGGCCCAGCATTGTCCATTGTCTTCCTTTATTCCCTCCTCTCTCCGCCCCCCCCATCTCTCTCTCTCTCTCCTCTCTCTCTCTCTCTCCCCTCTCTCTCTTGGTAAGTATGCCAAGAAATAGTCTATGTTCTTTTGTTGTTTTTTTCCCTCCCCTCCTCCCGTGCCCTTCCCCCAACCCCCCATGTTCTTTTTTTTGTTTCGTTTTGTTTTTTAAACTTTTATTCTTCTCTCATACATTATATCCTGTCCTCAGTTTCTCCTTCCTCAACTCCTCCCAGTCCCTCCCTCCTCTTCATCTCTCATCCATCCACTCTTTTTCCTTTTCTCTTCAAAAGAAAAGACCAGGAAAAACATGTTACAATAAGATAGGCAAAGGCACCCTTCCCAGAGAGATCACTGTGTCCCATCCTTGAGCTCTCCATGTTATTTAGCTCTCTACGTCTGTGGTTGTAGCATGACTATTCTTTTCTTCACAGCTAATGTCCACCTACAACTGAGTGCATACATAGATAGTGCAAATATACCATATGTGTCTTTTTGGATCTGGGTCACCTCACTCGGGATGATTTTTTCTAGTTCCATTCATTTGCCTGCAGATTTCATGATGTCATTGTTTTATACAGCTGAGTAATACTCTTGTGCAAATGTAAATATATCACATTTCCTTTGTCTGTTCTCCATTTGAGGGGCATCTAGGTTTTGCCAGATTACAGCTATTACAAATAAAGCTGTGGTGAATCCAGTTGAGTAAGACTTCTTGGGTTACGGTGGAGCATCCTTTGAGTATAAAGGAGTGCTACAGCTGGGACTTGAGGTACATTGATTGCCAATTTTCTGAGAAACTACCATATTGAATTCCAAAGTAGGTTGTAAGTTTGCACTCCCACCATCAATGGAGGAGTGTTCCCCTTGATTCACATCCTCACCACCATGAGCTGTCACTTGTGTTTTTGATCTTAGTCATTCTGCCAGGCCTAAGATGGAATCTCAGAATAATTTTGATTTGCATTTCCCTGATGGCTAAGGATGTTGAGCATTTCTTTAAGTGTTTGTCAGCCATCAGAGATTCCCCTGAGAATTCTGTTTAGATATGTGTCCCATTTTTTAATTGGATTTATTTGTTTTGTTGTCTAGTTTCCTGAATTGTTTTTTTGACATTTAAATTCTTAGCTTTTTTTTTATTACTTTAATTTTAAATAGCTTGCTTCACATGTCAATTCCAGTTCCCTCTCCCTCCTCTCCTCCCACCATCCCCCCCAACCTCCCACCCTATCCCCACTTCCTTCCACATAGGGGATATCCAGAGTCTGTCATTTCACTCAGGGCAGGGTCCAGGCACTCCCCTAAGAGTCCAGGCTGAGAGATCATCCCTCTTTGTGTTATGGACACACGAAGTCCGTTTGTATGCCAGGGATAAACACTGATTTACTGCCCAGGGCCCCATAGGTTGCCCAGGCCTCCTCACTGACTCTCACATTCAGGGGGTCTGGATCAGTCCTATGCTGGCCTCCCAGCTGTGGGTCTAGGGTCCAAGAGCTTTCCCCTGTTCAGATCAGCTGTCTCTGTTGGTTTCGCCAGCCCATTCTTTGCCAATTTGCTCATTGCTCCTCTCTCTCTGTCACTGGGTTCCATGGGTTCAATTCAGTGTTTAGTTGTGGGTGTTCGCTTCTGCTTCCATCAGTCACTGCATGAAGGTTCTAGGATAGCATATAGTGTAGATGTCAAGTTCATTATCAGGAATGGGCATTTAAGGTGGTCTCTCCACTATTGCTTAGCTTGCCAGTTGGTGTCATCCCTTTAGATCACTAGAGGTCTCACTGTACCAGATCTGTCTTCTAACCTATGACTCCCTCTATTATGGCATTTCTCAGCCTGTTCTCCCCCTATCCTACCCCCCACTCAACCTTCCTGTTCCCCCATGACCCACTCTCTCTTCCTCTTCTCCCCCTCTCTTCTTCCTAGTTCCCACTCCCCCCTAACCCCTCACTGTGTTCCCAATCTGTTCAGAAGATCTTGCCTCATTCCTCTTCTCTGGGATACCATGCATATCTCTCTTAGGTTCTTTCCTGTTCCCCAGACTCGCTGTCAATGGAAGTGCAGACTGTCACTATCCTGATCCATGTCTAAAATCCATATATGAGTGAGTACATACCATGTTTCCCTTTTTGTGACGGGGTTACTTCACTCAGGATGTTTTCTTCTAGTGCCATCCATTTACCTTCGAATTTCAAGATTCCATTGTTTTTTTCTGCTGAGTAGTACTCCATTGTGTAAATGTACCACATTTTCTCTATCCACTCTTCAGTTGAGGGGCATCTAGGTTGCTTCCAGGTTTTGGCTATTACAAATAATGCTGCTATGAACATAGTGGAGCAGATGTCCTTGTTGTATGAATTTGCATCTTTTGGATATATGCCTAAGAATGGAATTGCTGGATCTTGTGGTAGATTGATTCCAATTTTCCTGAGGAATCTCCATACTGATTTCCAAAGTGTCTGTACAAGTTGGCACTCCCACCAGCAGTGAAGGAGTGTTCCCCTCTCTCCACATCCTCTCCAGCATAAATTGTCTTCAGTGTTTTTGATTTTAGCCATTCTGACAGGAGTAAGATGGTATCTCAGAGTTGTTTTGATTTGCATTTCCCTGATGGCTAAGGATGTTGAGCACTTTCTCAAGTGTCTCTCAGCCATTTTAGACTCCCCTATTGAGAATTCTCTATTTAGTTCTGTACCCTACTTCTTAGTTGGATCCTTTGGTGTTTTGGAGACTTGCTTCTTGAGTTCTTTTTAAATTTTGGAGATCAACCCTCTGTCATATGTGGAGTTTCCTTTATTGTATAGGGTTGTTTTGGCTATCCTGGGTTTTTTGTTTTTCCATATAAAGTTGATTATTGTTCTTTCAAGGTCTGTGAAGAACTGTGCCAGAATTTTGATAGGGATTGCATTGAATCTGTAGACTGCTTTTGGCAAGATTGTCATTTTTATTATGCTGATCCTACCAGTCCAAGAGCATGGGAGATCTTTCCATTTTCTGGTATCCTCTTTTATTTATTTCTTTAGAGACTCAACGTTCTTGATATACAGGCCTTTCACTTCTTTGGTTAACATTATCCCCAGATATTTGATGCTGTTTATGGCTAATGTAAAGCCTACTTGATCATGGTGGATGATTTTCTGATGTGTTCTTGAATCTGATTTGCTAGTATTTTATTGAGTATTTTTGCATCGATGTTCATGAGGGAAATTGGTCTATAGTTCTCTTTCTTAGTTGTGTCTTTGTGTGGCTTGGGTACCAAGGTAATTGTAACCTAGTGAAAAGAGTTTGGCAGTGAGCCTCCCACTTGTATTGTATGGGATACTTTGAGGAGTATTGGAATTAGCTCCTCTTTGAATTTCTGGTAGAATTCTGCACTGAAGCCATCTTGGCCTGGGCTTTTTTTGGTTGGGAGACTTTTGATGACTACTTCTATTTCATTAAGGGTTATAGGTCTGTTTAGATTGTTTATCTGTTCTTGATTTAGTTTTGGCAAGTGATATCTATCCAGGAAATTGTCCATTTCCTTTAACTTTTCGAATTTTGTGGAGTACAGATTTTCAAAGTATGCCCTGATGATTCTCTGGATTTCCTCAAAGAACCAACTATTTGTTTCATTGATTCTTCTCAATGTTTTCCTGGTTTCTACTTGATTGATTTGTCAGCCCTCAGTTTGATTATTTCCTTGCGTCTGCTCCTCCTGGGTGAGTTTGCTTCTTTTTGTTCTAGAGCATTCAGCTGTGCTATTAATTCTCTAGCATGACTGTTCTCCATTTTCTTCATGTGGGCACTTAGTGCTATGAACTTTCCTCTCAGCACTGCCTTCAGAGTGTCCCATAAGTTTGGGTATGTTGTGTCTTCATTCTCATTGAATTCCAGGAAGTCTTTAATTTCTTTTTTATTTCTTCCTTTACCCAGGGATGGTGCAATTGTGCATTGTTCAATTTCCATGAGCTTGTAGGGTTTCTGAGATTTGTGTTATTGTTGAATTCTAATTTTAATGCATGGTGGTCTGATAAGATACAGGGGGTTATTCCAATTTTTTTGTATCTGTGGAGGTTTGCTATGTTTCCTATTATGTGGTCAATTTATGTGGTCAATTTTAGAGAAGGTTCCATGTGGTACCGAGAAGAAGGTATATCCCTTTGTGTTTGGGTGGAATGTTCTATAGATGTCTGTTAAACCCAGTTGGGTCATAACTTCTATTAGTTCTTTTGTTTCTTTAAGTTTCTGTCTGAATGTCCTGTCTAGTGGTGAGAGTGGAGTGTTCAAGTCTCCTTGAACTAGTGTGTGAGCTTTTATATGCGATTTGAGCTTTAGTAATGTTTCTTTCACAAATGTGGGTGCCTTTGTATTTGGGGTATAGATATTGAAAATTGAGACTTCATCTTGATGAACTTTTCCTTTGAATATGAAATGTCCTTCTTCATCTCTTTTGATTTTAATTTGAAGTCTAGTTTGTATATATTAGGATTGCTACACATGCTTGTTTCTTGGGTCCGTTTGATTGGAAAATCTTTTCCCATCCCTTGACTCTGAGGTAACATCTGTCTTTGACATTGAGATGTATTTCTTGTATGCAGCAGAAGGATGGGTTCTGTCTTCGTATCCATTCTGCTAGTCTGTGTCTTTTTATAGGCAAGTTGAGACGGTTGACATTGAGGGATATTAATGACTGTTGATTGATGATTCTTGTTTGTGCTTGATTTATTGGTAGTGGAGTTATTGTATGTAGGTTCTCCTCCCTTTTACTTTTGGTGTTTGGTAAAGTGGGATTATCTATTGCCTGTGTCTTTGTGAGTGTAGTTATCTTCGTTGGGTCTAGGTTTTCCTTCCAGCACTTTCTGTAGAGGTGGATTCATGGATACGTATTGTTTAAATCTGGCTTTGTCATGGAATATTTTGTTTTTTCCATCTATGGTGATTGAAAGCTTTACTGGATATAGTTTTCTTGGCTGGCATCCTTGTTCCCTTAGCGTTTGTAGGACATCTGTCCAGGATCTTCTGGCTTTCATAGTTTCCATTGAGAAGTCAGGTGTAATTCGGATAGGTCTGCCTTTATATGTTACTTGGCCTTTTTCTTTAGCTGCTCTTAATATTTTCTCTTTATTCTGTAGGTTTGATGTTTTGATTATTATGTGGCGAGGTGACTTCTTTTTCTGGTCCAGCCTATTTGGTGTTCTGTAAGACTCTTGTATTTTCATAGGCATATCCTTCTTTAGGTTAGGGAAGTTTTCTTCTATGATTTTGTTGAATATGTTTTCTGTGCCTTTGAGCTGTATTTCTTCGCCTTCTTCTATACCTATTATTCAGGTGGGGTCTTTCTGTCTCCACTGGCCTCCTTCTTTCCTGAAGCTGAAGCTGGGGATCCTGGAGGGTGGGGTCTGAAGCTGGGGATGCCAGAGGGTTTGGTCTGGAAGGACTGATGCCTTTCCTGTGTGGGCGGGTCCTCTGGCTGAAGCTGGGGATGCTGGAGGTTGGGGATTGGAAGGACTGGTGTCTTTCCTGTGTGGGCGGGTCCTCTGGATGCCAGGAGCCGACCCCAAGAAGATTGAGGGGATGGATGATGGGTGGGGGGATGGGGAGTGGCCCCAGGGAGACCCAAGCTCACCTGAAGCTGGGGTCACGCTTAGTCTATGTTCTTATATTTACACACACACACACACACACACACCACACTCACTCTCAAATCACACATACTCCACTCTCACAGACACTGACTCTCACACACTTTCACTCTACCACTTGTACACACATAATCATGCTATCACACACTCACATACTCTCACAACTCTCATGCTCACAACTCTTACTCACAACTCACTCTCTCACACTGTAGTAGTGTGTGTGTGAGAGTGTGAGAATGTGTGTGTCTATGTGTGGGTGAGAAGGAGTGTGAGTGTAAATTAGTGTTACTGTGCGTGATTATGTGTCTCTGTGTGTGATGTGTATGAGCATGTGTGGGAGATTGTGTGTGTCAGTTTTTGTGTTAGAGTGTTAGTGTGACTATGTGTGTGTGTGTGTAATGTCTGATTTCCCTCACGCAGTTGCAGGCTGGGACAGGACCTTCTCAGTGTAATCTTGGCAAAGATCAGGAGGTTTTATCAATTAGAAACCTCACAGAGAAGCTTTTCATTTTGTAGGCTCTGAGGACTTGGGAACATTCCCTGGTCTACCTTGGTGCAAAGCATCCAGAGACAATGTGAGTTTTAAATATATTATCATTTACAAAAAACCAGGTGGCATATCAATATAAAGTCAGAATACCCACAGGGGGACAGGCTCTCACAAAAAACATTAGGGCAAAAATCAGTAAAGTGACCTGCCACAGTGTGACAGGTGAAAATTAATCTAGGCATTCACAGGAAGACAGGAGGACACAGGTAGGAAGTCTGTGACATGCTTTCTGCTGTGTGGTCACAAATGACATTTGGTTATAGTTTATACTGGCTGATTCCTTTGTTTGTTTGTTTTGTTGTTTGGTGTTTCGAGACAGGGTTTCTCTGTGTAACACTCCTGGCTCTCCTGGAACTCACTATGTAGACAAGGCTGATCTCGAACTCAGATTAGACTGCCTCTGTCTCCTGAGTGCTGGGATTAAAGGCAGGCAACATCATGATTGGCTATGGAAACTTTTTAACCTTATGACTTTCTGTGCTGGCTAAGGTTTCTGTTTCACATTTATTAGAGGCACATGAAGCTCACCATCAACACCACATTGCATTTCTTTTGTTAAAACCATTGCCCCGTGCCCTGTGTGTGTGTGCATACATGTGTTATGCTTGATGAATGTTCAGGTGACTGGCTCTGTCACTCTCTACCTTATGTCCTGAGACAGCATCTTCCATCAAATCTGGAGCTAGACTGCAGTCAGGAAACCCCAGTGGTCCTCCCATCTCAGCTTTCCACAGCCCTGGCACATGTATGACTGTGACTTTTTTACATGGAAGTTGGAAAGTCAAACTTAGGTCCTCATGTCTGTGAAGCTATGGAGCCGTCTCTCCAGAATCTGTCTCGGTTTTGGAAATGACTGAGAGAGAGCCCTAGGGGCCAATCCAGCATCCGTGAAAGGTGCTGTGTGTCTGGAGACTGTGGCTACTGTGTGGGAGAAGCTGGGGATGAGCAGGGATGGGCAGAGGGAGGTCAGGGTCAGACCAGGCAGAAGAGCAGCAGACATCCCAGGCCCTGGGGAAGACAGAGGTGTTGGAACAAGGATGTGTTTATGTCTGTTGGAACCTCTCATCTTGACCTTTGCAAAAAAGTCAAGGCCAGCACACAGGTATGACTAAAGGTATCTGTCCCTAATGTACCTCTCCCCTCTACTCCCTTCAGCCTCGAGACTCTATCGTTGTCAAGTTGGGGCATGTGGGCGAATGCTGCAAGGAACTCCTGACCCGCTTCTTCCCAAGTTTTACATGTCTCCCCAGTGGGTGGCAGACACATTCTATGTTTTTATACATTGGGGCAGACTTAAGCATCTGGAAATTAGTGGACCATTACCACGTAAGTGTTTGATACCTCCCATTGGAAGCTTCAGCAGATGAGGGGTCAAATGCAAATGTTTTTCATACTCTCCTACTCCTGGGAAGGTTTTTTCTTATCCATCATTTATAATTTGTGTCTTTCACATTATATATCCCCATCCCCTTCATTTCCCTGTCCCCTCCTATCTATCCAATGCATTGCAACCTCTCCTCCCCCAAAAATACAATTTAAGAGGAAAAAAGAAGAAATGGGGGATGAGGAAAAATAAACCTCATCATGGAAACTCTTGTATGACACAGGGAGTCATGTAATAAACACTCTTATCCATATATGTTTACTTGAAAAACTTTATTGCAGAGATTCATTGATCTGGTTCAAGGTCTTTGGTTTCTGCTACACTGTTCATGCTGGGCTCTCACTGGAACTCCTCTTGGTTATCTGCTGGTACCTGTAGTGGAAACTGTGCGCCTTTGGGTCTGCAGGTTCACTCCCTTCACATGCAATGGCAGATCACAGATGGTGGTGATGGTGGGGAGGACCAACAAGAAACCCTGGATCTGGGCCTGGGTCTGGGCAGGGTTGCTCAGCCTGCCAGCTCTGCCTTGTCCTCCCTCATAGGCTGAGCTCTCCAGCATTGCCCTGGAAAACTCACCCCTTGCAGAGATGAGCAAGGGGCAGGGACAGTTATCCTGGCTTAATTTTTAAGGGTCAGATCTCCCAAGGCTGCACCTAGGGCCAGCTCTATAGTGTTGTCCAGGTGTGGCAGAGGGGACACTCTCCTGAGAGCTGTAGCTGATGAGGGGAAGGACCAGCTCTCCCCAGGGAGATTCTCACCTCTCCTTCATTCACTCTTCCTACAGGGGCTGTAACAGGGTCTTTTTTCCATGTGCAATTTGGGGAGTTTTGTTATGTGACAAAGTTGTTTCTGAGAATATGAAATATACTCATCTCCTCATCCTAGATATGGAACCTATAACAGACCAAAGTGCAGATATCACCAACTTCATCTGGGTAAAGCAATGAGTTTCATTTGAGTCACAAAGTGCAGATATCACCAACTTCATCTGGGTGAAGCAATGAGTTTCATTTGAGTCACTTATAGGAATATAGGTGAGGGTGAGGGATCACTTACAGGAACAGAAATGACTCAAAGACAGCTGCATCACCAAAGGACACCCAGCATGGCTGACAGAAGGCTCACAAAGCTGGGACCCTGGAGCACACTGCACAGCCTGCTGGCAGCTCAGCAGGTGGGAGAGTGTCCTTTCCAGGTGCCTCAGTTGGTTTGAACCCCTTCCAGGTAGCTTTGCTGGTTTGTGATTGATTGGGTTGCTTCTCTTGTGTGAGAGTCATTGCAGCTTGGCTAGTTTCAGGGAGTTCTTGAAGATATTGTTGTTGACCTCTCTACTTCAGGAGGCTATAAACACAATAGAGGAGGAATAGGATGGAAAGGGAGAATGTATCCGTACACACATGTGGGTACCTGGGCACAACTGGGCAATGTGGAAGTAACACTTCCTTCTGGCTATAGAATCTTCACCCCAGGTCCCCTTCTGCTCCTTTCTCCTCTGTGCTGCCTCAAGTCTGAATGGTCATTGTCTTAGAGTTTCCTAGATTGTGTCATCCAGGATCCTGATGGCTGTTCTCTCTCCTGCAGATTGGAGACAGAGCAAACCTCATCCTACTGAAGGAGCCCAAACTTGGTGAGATGGCACCAGAAGTCTTTCTCTCAGTATAGGAAGAGAGTGCTGGTGGCTCTCCCTGAGCTTCCCTTGTGTGGTCACCCTTCACCTTTGGGTATAAGTGCAGTGAACTAATCACACAGTAAGCACAGAGTCACCCTCAGTCCTGGAAACAATTGCATGTGTTCAGTGCTCCATGTCACAGCTAAGCAAACAGACTCTGGGTATCAGAATGCAGGTCTTGAGACCACAGAGCTCTGTAATAGCAGTGATGGGAGTAGAACCTAGTGACCTTGTCTCTCCAGTTTAATCACACTGGAGTGCTGTGTGGTATTGGCCTAAGAGAACCTACACTGGGCATCTCCCCCAGCTTGGAGGCAGCACTAACTGGTTGAGGAGAGATTGGTCAGAGGCAGGAATGAAGCTGGACTGGATGGAGCACAGACTTTGGGTCCAGCACCCAGTTCTGCAGGGATTCACTAAGCAGTCTCTCCTTGGTCTTCTCTAGGTATTGGTAGCCCTTTAGGTCCCTGAGCCTTGAAGCCTCAGTGAAGAATTTATACATCTACTTCTCTGCTTGTTCCCCAGGTCTCCAGTCTAGCGGTGCCTCGGCATGGCAGCCCTGACCGTCAGATAATCTGCTTTCATGAGCCTGGCTGTCTATGTCCTAAGCCTTCTCACTTCCTGGGTACAGCTGTGACTTTCTTGTCTCCTTTTGCCTCTGATGCTGACCTCACAGACCATTCTTCTAAAGACCTCTCATCCATGTGAACCCCTCCCCTGGCCTCCCAGTGCAGCATGCCCCTCGGGTGACTCTGATCTGGAGGTGCCTGTGGAGCAGGTATGGATGGGGACTCCATGCCCTATGGATCTCTGAGCTACCAATGCTGGCTGGAAGTTGACCTGGTGCTGGGCAGAGGACTCTGTGCTCCGTGCTTGAAGGCACAATGGGATGTGCACAGGGGCATCTGGTCACTTCTCCCACATGCTCAGGACTTGGCTCCCAGAAGTGATGCTGAACCTAATCCCACCCCAAACTTGTTTTTAACTAATTAAACTTCACTGCTTTTACTTAAGTTCTGTGCTGGCCTGGTTTGTCTATATCTAGAACTTTAGAACTAAATCATAAAGTGGAAGTTGACCCCCAAACATTACAGGAGCACTGTGTGACATCTTCCGGACATTTTGTCACTGTGAGTTTGGTTGCTGGTCCATTTCAACATCAAAGGCACAAGCCTTTGTGCACCATTCTCATTCAGACCACATCCATCTTGTCAGCAAGCACACATAACACAGAATTTTAAAATGTAACTTTTAAAGGGCCTGACACTAAAACCGTAAAATTAGACAACAGAAAACCACAGAATGATATCAAAGACAGCCTAAAACTCAGACATGTGGATTGTTGGTTCCAACATGGGGGACCTCTTAATTCTTTTCACACAGACTCAGAGATTCTGATTATGCAAATCTGAATCCCATCAGGCTTTGGGACTGGGGTAGAATGGCTACTGTGACAACTCTGTATTTATTTGGAAATGCTCAGGGTAGAGGCTAACTTGAATAGTCAGCACACTCCAGAGAAACAGAGCCAATGGGACATGTGTGCCTGCAGGAGGATTTGAGATTGGACTTGGCACACGATGATAGAGCAAGTCCAAACCTGCAGTGGGCCAGCCAGACTCAAGATGGTGGATGGTGAGTGTCCACTGTGAAGGCTGTGCCACTGAAGGTTCTCTCTGGCTCAGGGACTGTCCCCAATTGCTATACACGGATGTCACAAAAAGACTAAAACAATCTTGGGGAAGGGAACGGTCTATTGGCTTACAGGGCACACTCCATTGTTGGCAGACATCAGGGTGGAGCTCTAGGCGGAAACTCCAGGAAGGAACTGAAACAGATATCCTGGTGGGGTGCTGCTTACTGGTTACGTCTTCGTGATTGGTCAGTTTATGTTCTTATGGAAACCAGGTAACCTGCCCATGGCTGGCCCCACCTACCGGGGACTGAGTCTCTCCTCCCCATCAATCCCTAATTAAGAAAGTGCACCACAGTCTTCCCTCAGCCCAGTCTTAGATTCCGTTTCTTAGTTGAGCCTCCCTCCTTCAGATGACTCTAAGCTCTGTCCAGTTGACATAAAGCAAGCAGGAAATGCCTGCAAGGGGCTTGGGGTCTCCATGCAGCTGGGGGTGGGTCTCGGATGGTAGAATTCTGGGCTAGCCTGTGCAAAGTTCTGTGTTGGGTCTCTAGCCCCACAGAGAACTGGGCATGGTGATGTAATCCCAACACTAGAGGAGTTGAGGCAGAGGACCAGGAATTCAGGGTCATCCACAACTACAATTGGGTCTGAGGACAACCTGGGCTACATGAAACCCTTCTGAGAGAAAAAGGAAGGATGAGAGGGAGGGGAGGGGGGAAATGCTGACAGGCACAGGTGTTCCCCATGATCTGGGTGGGATGAAAAGAATCTGGCCTGAGGTTCTCAAAATGGAAAAGGACACACAGAGCCGGTCTTCAGGACACAGGTGCTGTCCTCACAGGGCTGCTTTGTGACTGCCCTGCTGTGAGGAGATGGGCTGAAGAGATGGCCCCTTGGAGTCACACTGCAGGCCAAGGGCAAGGCTATCCAGAAGCCCCAGCTGCCCTTGCTAGAGTCAGTCACATTTTGCATGATCTTGATCACAAACATCTGAGGGGCGTGGGCTTGATATCCAGAAGAAACTTAGCCCAGGTGTGTCTTCCTCACATAACCACTGACACCTAGGTTCAAAATCTGTAGGTCTCTATCCTTCTGCCAACATGCTTCTCCCAAAGTATTTACATGACAATTCACAACAGTACAGAAAAATTACAGTTATGAAGTAGCTACAGTATAATTTTATGGTTGTGGATACACCACAACATGAGCAACTTGTATTAAAGGGTCACAACATTCAGAAGGTTGAAGATCGCTGTCTTACGTCCGAAGGGTTCAGCTAGTTTCCTGATGGAAACGTGTTGTAGAGGTGGTGAGAACAACAATCCCTGGGGGTCTGGGCAGGGTCCACAGAGAACGCTGTAGAGGGCTAACCTGAGGACGCAGGGCACCTGGTGAAGCTGGCACTGTTTCTAGGGACTTGGGCTCCTGGCCCAGCTGTAGAAGAACTGGGTTTCTCACACCTTATTGTCCTGGCCCCTGCTGCAACCCGTGGTTGGTTCTCCACCTTGTCCCTGCAGGACTGCTTGTTAAGGAATCCACCACCTCCTTTTGTTCCTCACTATGGCTGTTACTCCCCTGGGGCAACCCCCAGTCAGGCTTATTGGGGAAAAGCATGGTTACTACAGGGATGAGATCCATAGACTCTGGATGGTTGTAGCCCTGTGCTTTTCCCCCAACCATCCAACTCATAACAAGGTGAGTTTTGTCGCTCAAAGGATACTGTATCCTGACCTTGTGGGTAGTCTATGTGTACTAGGGAGTGTGAGTTGTGATAATCAACATGAAAATTACTTTAGGGTGTGGCTTTAGACCACAGTGTAACCCAGGAGGGTAAACTGTTCTGTGATGCTGCAGGGAAAGTGTTTCTGGGTATTAAAATTGTTCTCTAAGTACCAGGGATGTCACTTGAGGGCAAAGCCCTTGTGTAGGTGTGGCAGATACTATGTGTCCTCTGCTTGATACCTGCCTGAGGGGACTTGGGGTTCACCCCTGGAAAAAATGGTTGATGTCCCCACTAACTCATCAAAGTTGCCTCTGACCATCATGTTCTCCCAGCATTCCTCATGCCCCTACCATTGCCCTCTACCCTGAACTGTGCAGCCCAAGACCTGAGCCACAGTCCCAACTTTCACTCAACCCCACATCCTCTGGCCCTTCCCATTTTGGCCTTGCTAGTTGTTTAGCCCAGGCCACCCCGCTTGGTTGTCATCTCCTCTCCCCTCTCTCCTCTCCTCACATGGCCAGGCTCACAGTCATGTTCCCTCTGGACTCACCGAGATTTCTCTGTCCCTGGCTGTGCTCTCCCTTTTATCTACAATAAACTCTTGCCTCCTCCATATGTAGGAGCAGTCATGTCCTTCCCTTTTCATTCCTTTTGTTCCCCTTCATCTGGGGCCAACTTTGATATGTTATTGGGCCTCAGTTTGTCCCAGGTAGGAAACCAAACAAGGGGATAATTCATCTATAGTAGCATGACAATAAAATCTTCAACTAGATAAGTGATTTTCTTTAAACCTACACCAAATAAAGTTTGGAAAGGTTTTAGATCAAACATTTTCCGGTAAAAAATAAAACCCAGAAAGAATTCTGTTGGGATGTAAATGAGACAGCTTCCATGAGAAAGTTTGTGCAGTCAATAAATTCATTAGAGTCACATGGCTCCCAGCATCCTGCTTCTGGGCAGCCTTGGGTTAAAGTAGCTGTTGGATACAGGTGTGGCTAGAGGGGCAGATGCAGCTTCCAGAACAGCTTCTTGGACAACTGAGTTAAAAGGGGATGAGGAGAATCTGGTGGCTCCTGTAAAAGAATCAACCTGAGGTCCCAGGCAAAGCTGTTGCTAAGGGACACATCCTCTAGAGCGCCCCATGGAGTAGCACTTGAACTCACTTGTAGTCCAGGAGGGAGTGAGGCTTGTGCTCCTCCTGCCACAGCCTCTTGAGTCCTTTGGGATTCCAGGTGGCAACAACAGGCCCAGCAGTGTTCTCATCTCCCTTCCTTCTTACTTTATTCTCTCCTTCTATTTCTCTCTCACACAGTGTCTCTCTCTTGGTTAGTATACCAAGAAATAGATTGAATTGTTACACACACACACACACACACACACACACACACACACACACACACACACACATGGTAGAGGTAGACAGATCTCTTAAATTCTTAAATTCAAGGCCACATTGGCCAATACAGTCAGTTTCAGGCTAGTCAGGTCTACACTGAGATCCTGCCTCAAATAAATTACAAATACAACTGCAAATAAATGAATCCTAAACACAAATAAAAACCTGTGAGCCCGAGTTAGGATCCCAGCAGCCACATGAAAAGCCCCATGTGTCTCTGCTGCCCATAACTTCAGTGCTGTGGGGGCGGAGTCAGAGTCCCTACTTCAAAGACATGAGGGAGAAAGTGATGGAGCAGACACCTGAGTCTCCTTTGTCCTTTTCAGACTGTCACATACATGCATCACAGGCACATCACACTCACTCTCTCCATCACGGATATAGTGTTACACACACTCACTCTCACACACTCCCATAATCTCAGAACTCTCACACTCACAACTCTCTCACACATTCTCACAACTCAATCTCTAATACTGTATGTGTGTTTTGTAAATGTGAGTGTGTGAGAGAGTTGATGTGTGTGTTAGTGTGAGTGACTACCTCTGGGTGAGAGTGAGTTTGTGTGAAATAAGTGTGACTGTGTCTGTGAGAGTATTGTGAGAGCGTGTGTGTGTGTGTGTGTGTGTGTGTGTGTGTGAGTGTGTGTGTGTGTGTGTGTGTGTGTGTGTAGCAATATACAGTTGCAGGCTGGGACAGGACATTCTCAGTGTGATCTCAGCAAGGATCAAGAGGTTTTTTTCAATCAGAGGCCTCACAGAGAAGCTTTTCATGCAGGCTCTGAGGACTTGGGAACACCAGATGGTCCACTTTGGTGCAAAGCATCCAGAGACAATGGAGTTGCAAATTAAACTTGATTTACTACAAAAGCAGTGGGCATGACAATGTGGGTCCCTGTCCCTTCTTTGTTATCCCCCTTCACTGCCGACCTAAAGTCAGAAGACCCACAGGGGACAGACTCTCAAAAATTGTTAGGACCACAACCAGGACAGTGACCTTCCACAGTGTGACAGGTCAAGAGAAATGCAGGAATTCACAGGAAGACAGGAGGACACAGTAGGGAGTCTGTGACATGCCCTCTGCTCTGTGGTCACAACTGGCGTTTGGTTATAGTTTATAGTGGCTGATTACTTTTTTTCCTTTTTGTTTGTTTCTTTTTCCAGAGAGGGTTTCTCTGTGTAACACTCCTGGCTGTCTTGAAACTCACTATGTAGGCTTGTCTGATCTCGAACTCAGATCAGCCTTACTGATGGGATTA